GTTTTTTTTGATGTTAAGCAACCTCCTGAAGCTCAATGGCCCAGTGAGCCCAGACTGGCTCTGTGTTAGGGATGGTGAATATGAGACCTTCCTGGTGTTCCCAAAACCTGTTGCTGGCTTCTCATTGGATCTGCTGCCTGAGGCTGCGGGGAGTGGAGACCGCAACGCCCTGAGGGCAGAACTAGAACCAGTCGCTTGCCTTATTGCCCCAGCCACCCCGCCCAACACTGGCCATCACCTGGGACTCCTTAGGTAAAAGGTAAATGGACCCCTGACCATTAGGTCCAGTCGTGACCGACTCTGGGGTTGTGGCGCTCATCTCGCTTTATTGGCCGAGGGACCCGGTGTACAGCTTCCGGGTCATGTGGCCAGCATGACTAATCCGCTTCTGGCGAACCAGAGCAGCACACGGAAACGCCGTTTACCTTCCCGCCGGAGCGGTACCTATTTATCTACTTTCACTTTGACGTGCTTTCAAACTGCTGGGTTGGCAGGAAGCAGGGACCGAGCAACGGGAGCTCAACCCCGTTGCAGGGATTCGAACCGCCAACCTTCCGATCGCAAGTCCTAGGCTCTGTGGTTTAACCACAGCGCCTTAGGGAGTGATAAAGCGGGATATCAAATCCAAACTACTCCTTCTCTCTTCTTTCTTCTTCTTCTTCTTCTTCTTCTTCTTCTTCTTCTTCTTCCCTTTGTTCCCCCTCATGACAAGGACTTGTAGGAGCCAAGCGGGAGGAACCTCTTGGCTGCTCCGGGCGAAAGAGCAAGGAGAAGGAGTTCCAATTTTGTGTAGGAAGCCCTGCAGGATCAGGCCCCGAGTAACAGGATCCTCTCCTCCAGCAGGTGCCCCATGCAGGATCCAGTGACCATTGAGAGCCATGGCATATGCCTCCTTTTTTCCACGACTGGCAGTCAAGGTGGCTTTCAGATAAACAGGAAAACTAACATAATCCTTAAAAAGTAATTCTACTCTAATAAAGATATATAACAATAGAAAGAACTATTAAAAATAGCTAATAATAATAAAAAGAAGTAACAAGGGGGTCATCTCTCTTGGACCTGGTCCAAAACCCACAGGGAGAAACTGAAGTATTATTATTATTATTATTATTATTATTATTATTATTATATTATTAAATTTGTATACAGTGGTACCTCAGGTTACATACGCTTCAGGTTAACAGACTCCGCTAACCCAGAAAAAGTACCTCGGGTTAAGAACTTTGCTTCAGGATAAGAATCTTGCAGCGGTGGCACGGCAAGCAGCGGGAGGCCCCATTAGCTAAAGTGGTGCTTCAGGTTAAGAACAGTTTCAGGTTAAGAACGGACCTCCGGAACGAATTAAGTACGTAACCAGAGGTACCACTGTACCGCGTATACCCGCAGGACTCAGGGCAGTTCACAAAAATAAATCACAATATGAAAACAGAAGATACACTATGACGAGGACTTGTAAACGGGTTCAACCTCTGGGAAAGACTTCTGCTTGAAACCTTAGAAAGGGCAAGGCCGCAGTAAACTGTTAGGCTAACGAAGCTGTAGCCTTGTCCTCATGATTTTTTAGGCTCTCAGTTCACGAGTTTAGCCATGAACTTGGTCCAGTCGCTCTTAGCGTTACCTTCTTTACAGGGTCGTCGTTGTGATGCCCAGCGGGGGGGGGGGGGAGAAAGGCAGAGAAATCCCTGTAACTCTGTGCTCTTGCGCCCCCTGGAGATAGTTCCTGGCTTCACGCAGGTGTTTTAGCAAGAGACACACCTTGACCTTAATCGGAAGAGATTCCTTCCATCAACATTTGTATCAAGAAAATACTCCCTTTCCCATCCCACAGAGCTTTGCTAGTCCCAGAGTGCCACCTGGTGGCCATAGAGGGGGAGGAAATGGGTTTGATTAGCCCCACACACATCCCAGAAATCTATTTCTCCTTTTGGCTCCAACATTTGCTCCTTGACGTTCATTTGGATCCAATGTGTGTCCGGAAATAAAGGGCGGTGGAATTGAAAGTCTCGTGTCGCTCAGGGGTGGAACATCTGTTTTGCATGCTGAAAGGTCTCAGGTTCGTATCCCAATGGCATCTCCAGGTAGGGCTGGGAAAGACACACACAAACACACCTGCTATCTGAGATTTTGAAAACCTGCCGCGAGCCAGTGCAAGCAGCGCTGAACTAGCGGACCAAAGTTCTGGCGGAGCTGAAGGCATTCTCCTGTGTTCCTTCATTAAGTGCCCTGCACGCAAAGAGGCTATGAGAAAGGTTATGCCATTTGCTTCCCCCCAAACTCACAGACGTGGGTGGCGCTGTGGGTTAAACCACAGAGCCTAGGAATTGCCAGTCAGAAGGTCGGCGGTTCGAATCCCTGCGATGGGGTGAGCTCCTGTTGCTCGGTCCCTGCTCCTGCCAACCTAGCAGTTCGAAAGCACGTCAAAGTGCAAGTAGATAAATAGGCACCGCTCTGGCGGGAAGGTAAACAGCCGTTTCCGTGCGCTGCTCTGGTTTGCCAGAAGCGGCTTAGTCATGCTGGCCACATGACCCGGAAGCTGTACACCGGCTCCCTCTGCCAATAAAGCGAGATGAGCGCCGCAACCCCAGAGTCGGCCACGACTGGACTTAATGGTCAGGGGTCCCTTTACCTTTTAAACTCACAGAGGTGCTTTGCTATCTCTGAGCAGGAAAAAAATTGACTTTCCTTTCGGCAGTTGCAACCCGGAATTGAATGCAGCGCTGCGGCGGCTTCCCAGGGAACTGCAGAGCTACGGCGGCTTCTCTTTTTCTTCTTCTTTTTTTAAAATATTTTTTTATTGGAAATTTTATTTACAACATAACATAACCCTCCCAAAACAGAAATCCACCCCCTTCAGACACAAATATAACAAACAAGAAGCATAATTTACAACAATACAAACAACCAAATAAAAGACTTCATTTATCCTGTTTCTGGCATCCTTATTTACTTCTTATAGGCTGTTTCCTTTATGAATAATTATTAAGATTTTCCTAATTATAACTTAAATATCCACAAAGTCTCCTGCAGACATTAATTGAAACAAGTCCAGGTATGAATTTTAGGGCACTGTTTTGTGAAGTGTTCTCTGCATTTCCCCCATGCTTTTTGAAATTCTTGTCTAGTATGATCTCTAATTGGGAAAACTATTAACAGCATGGGAAGAATTATGGAGAAAGACCTGGAAATTTACAGCCTGTGAAGTATTGAGGGAAAATCTAATCAATAACTTTTATCGATGGTACTTAACACCTACCAAAATAGCTAAAATGTATAAGACAAAAACAAATCTGTGTTGGAGGTGTGGTAAAACAGAGGGGACACTTATACATGTTTGGTGGACCTGTGAAAAAATCAAAAGCTTCTGGAACGTAGTATATGACGAGCTTAAAAAAATGTTTAAGTATAACTTTATAAAAAAATACAGAAGCTTTTCGAGAAGATCAGAAAACATTCCTCTATGCCACAGGAGCAGCAAGGATCCTAATTGCTAAAAACTAGAAAAAAGAAACTGTGCCAACAAAAAAATGAATATTGAACTGGCTAGATTAATAGGGTGGCTTCTCATATGAGTGCGGAACTAGGGTGGGTTCCCATTCCCCTGATAATGCTTTCACCCTATTTGCTCCTGCTACAGCTCTTTCTTCCAGGTCGTAAAGATCCAGGACGGGCCATTCCCTTTTCTCCTCCCACCGCCTTTCAAATTGCTCCCCCAAAAACCACATTTCCCGAGAAAGACTCGCCTCCTTTCTCCCCCTTCAACCAACTGATCCTGCAGCAAGGCGTCTCTGCTGTTTGCGAACGTTGCCTCTGGAGACGGGGGAGAAATTTGGTTCTGTTCACCTATCTAACTTAAAGGTGAAGGTAAAGGGACCCCTGACCATTAGGTCCAGTCGTGGCCGACTCTGGGGTTGCGGCGCTCATCTCGCTTTATTGGCCGAGGGAGCCAGCATACAGCTTCCAGGTCATGTGGCCAGCATGACTAAGCCGCTTCCCGCCGGAGAGGTACCTATTTATCTACTTGCACTTTTGACGTGCTTTTGAACTGCTAGGTTGGCAGGAGCAGGGACCGAGCAACGGGAGCTCACCCCGTTGCAGGGATTCGAACCACCAACGTTCTGATTGGCAAGTCCTAGGCTCTGTGGTTTAACCCACAGTGCCACCCGTGTCCCCTATCTAACTTACACTCCCGGAAATCTGGGACCTAAAATGCAGCTTTCCTCGAATTTTGCACTTCCCTGAATTTTGCAACACGGTTTCCCCCTGACCAAAGGAGTGCAGGTGTCAAGGGGAAGCGTGCACCTAGAAATGCACATCTCTGTGAAAATAACAGGCCTAAATGCATTATGTTGGGGAAGGTTGCAAGAATGCCTATATTAGGAGAACTGGGTGCTTTAGAAAATGCTGATGGGTTTTCAGGAGCTAGGGAGGCTGCAGATCAGGAGGTCCAGGTAGCCAGAGAGACCTCCCAGGCACCTGCATGTCAATCAAAGTTCAGGGGAAGACATCATGAGTTAACACCTCCCCTTATGAGATAACACCTCCCCTGGGGCATGTTCAGATCAGGAAGTGCGGGCAGCCAGGGAGGCTGCAGATCAGGAAACATGGGCAGCTGAGGAGACCTCCTAATGACTGATGTTTTAATGTATTTTTAATATTTTGTTGGAAGCCGCCCAGATAATAATAATAATAAGCTTGTACCAGGATAAGATGTCATGCATTAATTCCTCCTATGGCGGGGGCAGGTCAATTTCAGCATAAAAAGATCTAAAATGCTGCTGTACCATCGCCTCTCTCTTATGTGTCCAATTCTTCTGCCCCTTGTATTTAGACTCTATTTTAGACTCACAGAAGTTGCTGCACATGACCGACTTAAGTCTGTTACCCGCAGCGGGTCTATTCTGAGTAGGACTTAGAGGGAAGCAGCCCCACATAAATATTGGATTTGCATTCTGAAAGGACTATATTGTCTCACTCGACAAAAGACCCAGAGTGACACGGTATGTGGATGTTGGATCTAATTTATTTAATTAAGAGGGATGAATAACACAACGATAAAAGTGGAAATATATATAACGTGTGTGTGTGTGTGTGTGAGAGAGAGAGAGAGAGAGAGAGAGAGAGAGAGAGAGAGAGAGAGAGAGAGAGAAGCCATGAAGAGTGTTGTAGTCAGCAGAGCAAGGAGAGAGGCTGGGTGTATACATAGGCAAGAGTTCGAATCTCACTCTAAACATTCAGTGATTAAGACGTTTAAAAATTCAAGGAAAGGGTGGGCAAGATGTCAGCCTCTTCATCCAATAATCTGACTCACGTCAGATCCAGATTATGTTAAATTCTGGCGGAAAGGGCTGTAGCTCAGTGGTAGAGTATCTGCTTTTGTAGGCAGAAGATCCCAGGTTCGTTCCCCAACATCTTCCAGTAAGTGTGGGAATGTCCTCTGCCTGAATTCCTGGAGAGCCGCTGCCGGTCAGTGTTGGCAATCCTAGGTTGGATGGACCAGTGGTCTGTCTTGGAATAAGACTACCTTCTGTGCACCTCCTCATTGATCCAGCCCTTTAACCATAACCATGAGGACTAGAATCCTTAGGAAAACCAGGGCCCAGTGACAAGAGGGTCTGCTTTGCATTCAGAAAGTCCCCGGTTCGACCCGTCATCTCCAGGTACGGCTGAAACCCTACTGAGCTGCTGCCAGCCAGCATTGACAATATTGAGCTAGATCTGACTCGCTAAAAATGGTCTGGAGCCACCCCACCTGTTTCTTCCCCCTCGCCCAGCGCTCCCCAATAAAATTTCCTTTGCTCCCTTCTATCTTCCGTTCATTAAAGTGCTGCTAGGAAGTCAAACAGGGGTAAGCAAAGTGGTGCTGTCCAGACATTGCTTGACTCCAGCTCCCAGCAGTCCCAGCCAGCATGGCCACTGTGCAAGAATGATGGGAGTTGGAGTCCAGCGACACCAGGAGCGACACGGGCTTGCCAGCCCCGCATTAAAAGAAGGCAGAGTTGTGATGGAGGTAGCCAGGGGCAGTGAAGGCAAGTGAGGGCAGAACTCAAACATGCAAGAAATGTCTCGCTTCTGCTGCTAAAAAAGCACCAAAGGGGAGAGTCTCTTTTGTCAAAACGGGTTTTTTGGGGGGGTCCAGTCCGGCTCCTCCGAGATCAGTCCTCGATTCCCCAGTGGTAGAACCGGACCCACAGCATCTGTGGTTCCTACACTGCAAGGGGGTCCCTTCCAAGTCTACAATTCTATATGTAGTCTTCACAGAGAAATATCCTGATGAAAAGCCAGAAACCGAGAAGCCGCCTTTGATGTCTTTGTTTGGAGTGTCCGCCAGACCTTCAAGAGGAGACCCCTCTCTCATTTTGCCCCTCCCTCTTCCCTCACCCCCCCCCAATATATTAGAGCAGTGTGCAATTTCGTCAGTGACACCCTCCCAACCACCCCCTCCCCCAATTCTCTTGCCGGTTGCCAGCTTGTCCCATTGGCCACCCCCGGTGAAAGGTCCGCCTTCAGCTTGGCCTCTGCTTCCCCACGACGACATTGCCAAGAGCAAAGCATGATGGGTGTTTGAGAGGCGGGGGGAAAGTCGTCAAGGCCTGGGCTGAAGGGGCAGTTCACCCCCCGGAAAGTCGGAGGTCAGTCCTTGGCCTCGTCTTCATGGTGGTGGTGGTTGGAGGCCTCTTCCCCTGGGTGGTGGTGGCCGTAGGGGTGGGGGTGAGGACCCTCAGCTGGCAGGTTCTCGTCGCCGTTGACGTAGACGTTGAGGAGTGCCCCCTCTTGGCTCTGCTCCTTTCCACATGCCTGGCAGCTGCAGTGGAGGATCTTCTCCACCAGTTTGTCCACCCTGGGGATGTCTTCATTGCTGGGGCAGTCCAGTGTCACCTGGCGGAAGGAGAAGACATCAGAACACACAGGAAGAGCTTGGCTGCTGGATCAGGCCAATGGCCCATCCAGTCCAGTCTCCTATTCTCACAGCAGTCAACCTGTAGGAACCCCTCAAGCAGCACCTGAACTCAAGACCCCTCTCCTCTCCTGCGGTTCCCACCAGCTGCTATTCAGAAGCACTGCTGCCTCTTGCCGTACGTAGCTCTCAGGGCTAGCGGCCATCAGTGGCTGCCTCTTCCCGAAATTTGGTTCACCCTCTTTTTTCAGAGAGTCACCACGATCATCTAACATAGAACATCAGTCCTGAAAGACCTACATTGGCTCCCAGGACATTTCCAAGCACAATTCAAAGCGTTGGTGCTGACCTTGAAAGCCCTAAATGGGCTCGGTCCAGTATATCTGAAGGAGCGTCTCCACCCCCATCATTCTACCCGGACACTGAGGTCCAGCACCGAGGGCCTTCTGGTGGTTCCCTCCCTGCGAGAAGTGAGGTTACATGGAACCTGGCAGAGGGCCTTCTCGGTGGTGGCGCCCGCCCTGTGGAATGCTCTCCCACCAGATGTCAAGGAAATAAACAACTATCTGACTTTTAGAAGACATCTGAAGGCAGCCCTGTTTAGGGAAGCTTTTAATGTTTAATGTCTTACTGTGTTTTAATGTTTGATGTTTTATTGTATTTTTAATATTTTGTTGTAAGCCGCCCAGAGTGGCTGGGGAAACTCAGCCAGATGGGCGGGGTATAAATAATAATATATCATCAACATCTAAGAACATCATGAGCTCTGCTGTTGGGTCAGGTCAAAGTTTCATCTAGTCCAGCTTCCTGTTCTCACAGGGACCAACATGATGCCACTTATGGGAAACCTGCACACAGGATCTGACCATAAGAGCACGCTCACCTTCCTGCTTTTTTTGTAGCAACTGGAATTCAGAATAATTGCTGCCTCCAACCATACAAGCAGAGCATAATGATCACAGTTAGTGAATTTCTCTAATCCTCTTTCTAAAGCCATTGCAGGTAGTGCCCATCGCAACATCTTGTAATAAGAAACTTAAGTCTGGCTACCAGATCAGGCCAGTGGCCTACTTAGCCCTCATCCTGTACTGACATTGGCCAACCAGGTGCAACAGCAACATTCTTCCCAGTTGTGATTCCCACTCTAGCCCCCTACTTGCTGCCCCACAGTGAATCCCCCCTCCACATGAATATTCCATCTATTTATTTATTAGAGAGGGGATGCTAATGGATATTCAGCGGACAGCCCTTCTTGGACGATCGCCGCACAATTTTCCATCCTGAGCGGCATTACTTACCACTTCCCACATGGAGAGGGCTGGCATGCAGGAGTCGCAGTGCACCAGGGACTCGGTGGACTGTGGGAAGGTGTTAGGAACGCTGTAGCTGAAACACTGCCCCAAGCAGGCTCTGCAGACAAGAGGTGAAGATTAGGTAAGGTAAAGGTAAAAGGACCCCTGACCATTAGGTCCAGTCGAGTCTGACTCTGGGGTTGTGGCACTCATCTCGCTTTATTGGCCGAGAGAGCCGGCGTACAGCTTCCGGGTCATGTGGCCAGCATGACTAAGCCGCTTCTGGTGAACCAGAGCAGCACATGGAAACGCAGTAGGTGAAGATTAGGAAGGTGCTAAAAGCCAGCAAAATGAGGGTTGGGTTCAAAATTGGGGAGGGCGGTGTTCAGGAGCGCCAGACTTCCCAAGTGGACTGAGACCATCCCTTGCCTCTTAATTAAGAAAGCAGAAGCATTTTTACTTGGCGTTGTAGGAGATGATATAAATAAAAAGGACTGTAAGTTGTTTCTATATGCAGTGACAGCAGCAAGAATATTATTGGCACAAAAATGGAAGCAAGAAGAACTACCGACGAAAGAAGAATGGAGGATGAAACTGATGGGCTATGCAGAACTAGATAAATTAACAGGAAGGATTCGAAACCTGCGGGACCGGAGATTCTCAGAAGACTGGAGTAAATTTACGAACTATTATTTGAAAAGCAATGGTGATGAACAGATTACGCAAGTAGGTTTGCAAGAAGTTTTGTAAGGTGAATTATTTGAAATATTGCATGAAAGATCATGAGGAGCATTCTTAGTCAAGGATAATTAAAGGTAATATGAAATTAAGAAATGGATAATAAGTGATAAAGAACAGAAAATCATCAGAGGTGTTATGGAAGTCTAAAAATATTGTATAAGATGAGAAGTTATGTTGTATGACTATTGGAACTGATAAGTTAAAAAAATTAATAAAAATGTATATTTTTAAAAAAGAGACCATCCCTTGCCTTCACTCCCCTAGCTACCTCCATCCCAGCTCTGACATCTTTTAATGAAAGGATGGGAAACCTGCAGCTCTTGAAAGGTTTCTCAACTACAACTCTGGCCTCTGGCAATAGGCTGGCTGCATCCATTGCGGACTGAAGTCTGAAAGCAGCTAGAACTAGCCATAACTTGCCTTCACTGCCCTAGCTACCTTTAATACAGGGAAGGGGACCATTGGTCATGCTGGGCCCAAGCATGGCCAACAGGTGGTGCTAGAGAGCAAAATGGTGTCCTACAACAACTGGAGAACGCCAGGTTCCCCTTCCCCAAACGAGACCATCACTTGCCTTCACTGTCCCTAGCTACCTCCATCATATCTCTGACTTCAGTTGTTTCTGGTCTCCAACTCCCATCTACCCTCACCATTAGGTCTGCTGGTTTTGACTGATGGTTTTGACAACAGCTCAAGGGCCATAGATTCCACATCCCTGTTTTACAACCCTGCTATCTTGGGTTCTCAACATTTTTTATTTATTATTCTTTTATTTCGAGCGTTTGTTTGATGTCATAAAATTTATATAGTGCTTGATTGTAAAAACAACAACAACAACAACAACACCCACCTCAAAGCGATTTGCAAAAAGAATAAAACAAAATTATTGGTGAAAACAGTTAAAAACAGCAACTTAAAACATTTTTAAAAATTAAATAACCTAAAAAACATTAGAATACATGTGGGTATTCTACATATCTGCGTAGGCTTGCCTAAACAACAACAATTTTTTAGCAGCCACTGAAAGCAGTATAGTAAATTAAAGAAAATAAAATTATTACAGGGCCTGTCTTATATCAATAGGCAGGGAGTTCCAAAGGCTGGGTGCTGCCATGTTAAAAAATTGAGTTCTTACAAATGTGGAACTATTAACAGTGCCATGTGTGCCACTTTTCGTCACGGCGGAAAATCACAAATCGGTTTACAGCCACGATGCTTTTACTTGTGATACGTTAGCAGGAAGAGGCAGAAGTTAATTTCCAGAGTCGTGCTGGCCAGAGCTGGTGGTGAAGAAATGGGTTTCTGTGCAGTCAGTTTGAAACTGACTCAAAAAACCCCTTTTTCTTATTTCTCCAAGAGAGCATTTCTAAAATGCATTAACAAGCTGTTGAGCAAATGCATAACAAGAACACAGCTGAATAAACAAAGCTCTCTCCTTTATCAGTCACGGCAAAGGATGACCTTGGCTGTTCCAGTGGAGTAGGGATGGCACATCTAGGTCTTATCTTACATTCTGAACACACTTTGACGCACAGACCTAGTTCGGGAACAGTGCCAGAGTGTGTTCTTGGAGTTGGTGACCTCTTGCTCCAAGATAAGAGTATAGGAACAGGAATACACTTTTATGGTCAGAAGTACAGGAAGGAAAACCCTTTTATGGTTAAGAGTACTGGAGCAGGAACATCTGTGATGTCCACCTGCGTGTATAGGCTGACGTGGCTGGATTCCTGGGGAAGGGGGAAGAGGGTGCCTGGAGGATATATATACTGCATGAAATTTCTAATTTATTTGGACTTGCTGTGGACTGACCACGCAAGTGCCTTTCTGCTACTCCGGAGAGCAGAAATAAAGAACTCTTTCTCTGAACCAACCCTCAGTGTCATTTGACTTCCTTCCTCCTGTCCAGGAGCAACGCTCACCCTACCAATTGGTAAAGTCCAATAAGGCTACAGTGGAAGTTGGGAGTGCGACACAGCTTGGGGAAGATGGCTATGGGAGATCTGGAGATGTTGGATCCATTGGCCCCGTACTGTACCTGTTCTGGATGGATTTGGACTCGCAACCGCTGTGCCCAACGATCTGGGTGATGTTCTTCGCCTCGCACCAGGCGCTCTTGTCGGGAAAGAGGGCCAGCTTGCTAATGGGAGGAGGCGCCGCCAGGATCAAGGATGGGACGAGGGTGGTCACCAGGAGCTTCAGCATCTTGGCCTTTTCTGACAAAATCCTAGAACTGGGGGAAAGGGGTTCGAGAAGGATAAGAAGCATCAGAACACCAGAAGAATCTGCATTATATATTTGTATCGTAGCGTAAAACCTTTATTGGCATCACCTACAACATCCAAAACAAATCAATACAGAATCACCACTACTTTCTTGGGCTCCATGATGACTGTGGATGGTGACAGCAGTCACGAAATTAAAAGACGCCTGCTTCTTGGGAGAAAAGCAATGACAAACCTAGACAGCATCTTAAAAAGCAGAGACATCACCTTGCCAACAAAGGTCCGTATAGTTAAAGCTATGGTTTTCCCAGTAGTGATGTATGGAAGTGAGAGCTGGACCATAAAAAAGGCTGATCACCGAAGAATTGATGCTTTTGAATTCTGGTGCTGGAGGAGACTCTTGAGAGTCCCATGGACTGCAAGAAGATCAAACCTCTCCATTCTTAAGGAAATCAGCCCTGAGTGCTCCCTGGAAGGACAGATCCTGAAGCTGAGGCTCCAATATTTTGGCCACCTCATGAGAAGAGAAGACTCCCTGGAAAAGACCCTGATGTTGGGAAAGATGGAGGGCACAAGGAGAAGGGGATGACGGAGGACGAGATGGTGGGACAGTGTTCTCGAAGCTACAAACGTGAGTCTAACCAAACTGTGGGAGGCAGTGGAAGACAGGAGTGCCTGGCGTGCTCTGGTCCGTGGGGTCACGAAGAGTCGGACACGACTAAACGACTAAACAACAACAATGAAGGACTTGATTGGGAGTTGCCATGGGTGAGTGGGAATTGCTTGCTGGCGTGTGGATTAGGGGCATAAGAATAGAAGAAGAGTCCTGCTGATCTAGTCCAGCATCCTGTTCTCACAGGGCCTGACCAGATGCCTCTTATGGGAAACCTGAGAGCAGGATTCGAATACAGAAGCAATTCTTCCCTGCTGGCAACTGATATTCTCAAGCATCTGTTCTGCCGGGACAGGGCTGTAGCTCAGGGGCAGAGCATCTGATTTGCATGCAGAAGGTCCCAGGTGTAGTTTCTGGCATCTCCAGAGACCCCCTGTCCCAAACCCTTGGAGAAACAACGCCAGTTAGTGTGTGCATGGGGCAGTTTTCCATGTTTCTAACAGAAGGCTGATGTTTCAGTGTGTGGCCAGTAGGTGGAGCTCCAGGGCAAGACAAACTAGGAGGTTCTGGCGTAAAATGTATTTGGGGGAAGAGGGTGGCCAACATAGGAGCCAACTCCTAGGGGTCGAGGTCCCTCCACCCCACCCCCCATAAAATATTTGAGGGGGCCACCCCCCACTAAAAATTAATGAGTATTGCCATTCAAATAGTGTGCATGTGCTGCATCATGTGACCTTTTAAATATATATATATATATATATAACTTTATTGAATAATACAATCAAATTTCCAGACATTATCTGCAAAAACACAATTATTTACATATTTGCCAAACATAAACTGTGAAAGAAGATAAAGAGTAAGAAGAAATGAAAAAAGGAAAAAAGAAAATGCTGTTTTCCATAAACAGTAATTCCAGAATTACACTTACACACATTATAACATACAAATCTTAATTAAAATATCTTAAAAGACTTCCACCACCTAAACCACACTTCTTTTGTTAATTAATTCTCCTTTACCTCTGTTCTTCACTTCCATCCCTTTAGATCCCTTAGGAACATCATGTGACCTATATACAGGGTGGGGTTTACCTGCCCCCCCCCTCAATATTTTATTCACATTAGCATCCCTGGTTGCCAACTGACCACAGAAAAATCTTCCTGGGATGCTTTTCTGACTTTAGTACCAGCAGAATGTGAAGAAATTGGCTCTTCGCCAGCATGAAGGGAAGCAATATCACCATCTCAAAAAATAAAATGAATTTAAAATAAATTACATGGGGCTGATAATTTTTCAGGTGGTTTGAGACAGTGGTAATATGTCTCTTCATGCTGCCAAATACAGTGGTACCTTGGTTTGCATACATTTTGGATTACAAACACGTCAAACCTGGAAGTGCGTATCCCGGTTTGAAACCTTTTTTTGGATTACAAACCATTTTTGGGGGATTATGAACAATTTTTTTTTTTTTTTTTGGAAGCCTCATTGGCGAAAGCGTGCCTTGGGTTATAACCTGTTTTGGTTTACAAACGGACCACCGGAATGGATTATGGTTGTAAACCCAGGTACCACTGTAGTCCATTTTTATTTTTATTCCATCCTTTCTCCCAGGAACGAGGTGGTATTATTATTATTATTATTATTATTATTATTATTATTATTATTTTCCACAACGCTTTATATTTTTAAGAAAAGAATTCAAAGCTGTTTAGAACACATTAAAACAGGCACAGGCAAACTCAGCCCTCCAGATGTTTTTGGACTACAAATCCCATCATCCCTAGCTAACAGGACCAGTGGTCAGGGATGGTGGGAGTTGTAGTCCCAAAACATCTGGAGGGCTGAGTTTGCCTATGACTTCATTAAAACATCAAATAAAACAAACCAGAGTTAAAAAGATAGTGTCCTCAAAACGTCGTTGGCAAGCTTTAAAGCAGCAGATCAATTAACCAGAGCTTTAGATGATTAATTAATGAGCTCCTTTGGTTCTGGTGTGTTATGGTCAACAGAAGGAAAGAGAAAGTTTTGGACAAGCTCTGTTGCGGCAATTAAGAAGACGCCATCCTCAACACATGATTTGCAACTGTAAAACCATCCCTAAACTTTGACCTTCACTTGCCTTCACTGCCTCCATTATAACTATGTGATCAAAAGCATTTTGATCTGACCGGAGCGTTGGGAAGGAACTGTCACTTTCTAATATAAAGAATGTGTGCCATTGGTTCTCAGGAGTACTATGAAATCCATAACCATTGGGAAAGAAATTGAAAATGAAACTGCCACTATTGCAATGCCGTTATACAAAATCTGTGGTACCTCCCCATTTGCTGTGATTCCTGCATTGCATGGCGTCAGACTAGATGAGTCTTGGAGTGCCCTTCCAACTCTGAAATTCTGAGATTCTATGAATATCGTGTACAAAATGGATATTCTAGAGTTGGAAAAGGTTCTGAAGAAAGGGCAACCCAAAAATTTAACAAAGGTGGGTGGGTGGGGAGCGACTCCCTTATGAGGAAAGGTTGAGGCAGCTGGTTCAGAGAAAAGGTAAGAGGCGAAATGATAGAAATTTATAAAATTATGCACAGCATGGAGAAAACGGATAGAGAAAGGGTTTTTTCTCCCTTTCTCATAACATCAGAACTTGTGTATACTCTGTGAACCTGGATGTTGGAGGATTTAGGACAGATTTTTTAAAAACACCTGTGGAACTCACTTCCACAGGAAGTGGGGAAACGTCCACCAACCAAATGGCCTTAAAAGAGGATTAGGCAAATTGTCGGCTTGATCCAGCAAGTTCTTCTTGTGGTCTTAAAATATTACAAGATATAGTATACTCGGTAAACTCTCTGGCTCTCCTTGATTTTGCATGTTAACATCTCACACCATTTTCAAGGTTTGCTCAGCTACAAGACGTATTTTTTAAAGGACTGGTCCATTATTATTTTCTTGGCTTCGCAAACTTGTGCCCTTTAAAAAAACAACCAGCCACTTGCAAGTCTTTGCGCCAAGATGTCAAGCTGGGGTTCCCTGCACAGACTTGCCCCAAGAGGATTTTGTACTCCTCGTTGGCACGGGCAGAAAACCGGTCTCGGGTACACAGGCAAGATGCAACTGGGTACCCAAACAGACATGTATCGACACGGACTCTTGCCCAACCGTCCTTGTACGGCAGCCAAGACGCAAAGCCATGAGCAGCCCTCAATCACCACCCTCCCAATCTTTCCCTGAGCCTTGTTTATAAAGATCTCCCTTCCGTCATGCGAGCTCAGACCCGCACGGACAGATGATGTCAGCAGGCCTGGAGCTTTCAGGGGAAAGAGGACAACATCGAAAGCAACAACTCCTACACCCAGGATGATCTGATGGAAATGTCGCCATACAAGCATTGGAAATGGCATTGGGATGTTGCACTAAGCATATACCCTCCAACCTTTTTCTGATGAAAATAACGACATCCTATTCTATTGTTGTTGTACAGTATTTATATCATGCCTGTCAGAGCTGCTTCCAGATCCTAGCTCACAGAGGATCACGCTAGCCAGCGGTCACTTGTAAAAGTCTTTTATTGCGTTACAGTTTCCATTCTCAAGCTGCTGCGTGCAACTCTACGTCTTAAGGGCTAGACCGGCGAAGCTCCGTCTGAATCTCCGCCCCCTGTACACCAACTTAATACCCTAGCCTTACTCCACCTTTTCCGCCTGACTGTTCTTCTCTGGGTCCCTCTGCCCCCAGGGTCTCTTCCTTCCGGGACTCTTCTGACGCTGACCCCCCGGACCCTTCTGTCTCCTTGCGTCGGGCTTTAGGACCTGGCTCCCTTTCCGGGCTGCTCACTGCGCCACCTTCCTGTGCATTTGAACTTGGCGCGCGCGCCCAACCTCCCACTTTCCGTCTGACCGTTTCTTCGCTCCCCGATGGAGGTGTGGCCACTCCTGACTCGTGCCCTCCCTCCTGTTGTGAGCTACCAGCGCTTGATACCTGGCGCCCTTCCTCTCCCCTGCTCTCTGTGGGTGACGCTGGTCCCGATTTCCCACTGCTCCCCTCTGAGCCCCCTCTGGCCCTTTCTTCCTGGGGTGTCCCCCTAGTCTCCCCCCTTGCCCTGGCCACTGGTGCTCCTTTCTGTGAATCGTCTGATTCACTGGAAAGACTCGGAGATCTCGAGTCGTCGTCATCACTCATTTTCTCTTCTGCCTCCTCCCCCTCACTCTCTGTTTCCTCCCTTGCCCTTACCTCTGCTCCTGAACCCCTGACATCCATCCCCCCCTCGAAGCCCCCTCTTCCCCCCTCCCCTCCGTCCGGTGCGGGAGCTGGGTGCTGCCGTGTCAGGGGGACGAATGTCGGATACAGTTCGCTTCCCGTGGCGGGCCTCCATCTGAAGTCTTCCGGTTCTTCCTC